TACTAGCACTAGTACCAGTACCGGTAGTACCGGTAGTGGCAGTAGTAGCAGTAGTAGTAGCAGCAGTAGTAGTAGTCGTCGTCGTGGTGGTGCTGGTGCTGCTGCTGGTGCTGGTGCTGGTGCTGCTGCTGCTGGTGGTGGTGGTGGTGGTGGTGGTGGTGCTGCTGCTGCTGCTGCTGCTGCGGCTGCCGCTACCGCTACTGCTATATCGCCGCCGCTACAGCTACCGCTACCGGTACCGCTCCCGCTGCTGCTGCTCCTGCTCGTGCTGCTACCGCTGCCGCTACCGCTACCGTCCTGCTGCTGCTGCTCCTCTGCTCCACTCCTCCTCCTCCGACCTGAATCATGGCCGGTGTCCTTGGCAGGATCATCTGGCCTTGTGGAAAGCAGGGGCGCCCTTTCAGGGGGTGCTGACGCATTTTATGGGTGCCATGTGCGGCATTTAAGACTGGTAAGGCGGCATTTCCAACATTGCAATGAGCAGTAGCTTCGAGCAGTTATGGTAGTTGAGCTGTAGCTACTGGCTTTGCTAGCTATGCAAAGATTAACCCCAAACTTGGCAGTAGAATCTTGCCAAGAATTACGTTCGGTTGTACCACGTTCTGTTCAGAAGTCGCATTCACAAAGTTCCCAAGTCACCACGCTGGAATCGTCCAGTCATTGATGAGGCAGGGTCCTGGGCTCTTATGCGTTCTGGATCGCCTTTTGTGTGCGGATGCCGCTCGGCTGAAACTCAGAACCCGGCACCTAGAACTTCAGCCAATGTGCCCCAACCTTTGTGAAATGATCAAGAGGTTACGGTAGCAGTCCCAGCGTCTTGTTGTGTTTTTTGGGGGCGAACGGGACAACTTGAAGGTTTCCGAAAGTTGTTGCCGAGGTTGCGTTGAGGAAAAATGGGTCGGCGACGAAGAAGGGAGCTGCGAAACAGTGGAGAGAGACGGAGAGTCCGTCGAGAGATACAGCTGCGGATGCTGCTGCCATTGCATTGTGGTCCTGTAGCCAAGCTTATAAACCCAAGGCAAAGCTCAAGGGCCAGCCCCTGAGTGCTAAGCTCGGAAACTCCGAAACCCTTGAACCGGAAGCACCGGAAGCCTTGCATCCTAAACCCCTGAAGCCCAAGGCCTTGAACCTCAAACCCAGTACCCGTAGCCGCCCAACAGAACGCCTTTAAACTCATCCTTCAGGCTGATCTCCCTGTGCTTTTTCTTTGCCGCAACACGGCGATGGCTGATCTTGGACTACCTCCTCACATGCTGCATTCACCTGAGCCTCGGCTTTTAGCCTTTAAAAATGGTGCGCCGTCGCGAGGGTGCTCCTCAAGCCTGCTGTCAGTCCTGGAAGCAAGACGTAGCAGATTGTGGTCTCGCTGCTCCCGAACACGGGTCGTCGACTCGTGTTGACAGATTGAAAGCAGTACTGTGGATGTTTTGATGACGTTCTTCCCACCAATAGCATCGCTGTTATCATATGCTCATGACAGCTATCCTTGGCCTTTGCCATTCAGGACGGTGTGCGCCATGGCCTTCGCGGGAGATTTGGCAGGTGTCAGCTCAGAGTGAGTCCGACAGTCATCGTGGATGTAGCCTCCTGGGTCCTAGGACTTTGAAGAGGTTGGGAGCAGGTCTCAAGGTTGGGACCTTGGGAATGAATGGCCCCGAACCAGGCGGAATGACAGCAGTCTGGAGCATTTATCAAAGCGCACGTTTGCGGTGTGTGTGCGTGTGTGTGTGTGTGCGCTTCACGATTCTATGTTGCGAGCTATGCATTGAGAGTTTCGGAGTCATGGGTGCTGTTCCCCGCAAGGATGAAATTGGCTAGAGCGCCAGAAAAGAGTTGACCCTTGCATGAGGAACCTTCTCCTCTTGAAGATACAATCCTGAAGCAAGCTGCAGAGAGTTGACCCATGTGGGCTCATGTCCGCACAGAAGCGGCGGGATGCAGAAAACTCACCACAAAAATAAAAATCGACACCCCAATCTGCAGAGCCAAGTTGAGCTGAGGCCTCTGTGATGAATTTTCTGGGAGGGGGATGACGATGATAATGATGAGAATGATCGGACGGAGTGTTAAGAGGAGAAGCCTCTCGGAGAGACGTTTTTGCAAAGAGGTCGCCGTGTGAGTCGCAGCAGTCTTTGGCTCGCAGCGGGCTGGATGTGCTGCTTGGACCTTCAGGAACGAGAAGGGACTTTTACGAGAAGGGATGCAGGGTGTAAGGTCTCTCTTTCTCAGGGTTCTGCCTCATCAGTCTTCCGGTCAGGGACAAGAGCGTTGAGTAGAGCGGCATTCGGATGACCAGGAAGGGCCATTGAATGGCTCTGATCAGATTTTGGGCTTGGTTGTGTTCTAGCTGGTTTTTGTCCCTGCTCCTGCTCCTACTGCCACTGCTGCGACTGCTGCTGCAGTAGTGCAGCTTCCCGTTCCTTGACAGCCATCGCCACTGTTGCTGCAAACTCCAACGTGTCCTCGACTCCTGCATCTCCGCGAATCCCTGATGACTAACTAAGGCTTCGCGGCAGTGTTGCTCGTCGTTTTCACCTACCTTACACGAAAGGCTTGCAAAGTGTAACACCACCCTTGGATTGCAGAGGTGCTTTCCGAGCAAGTGTTTTAAGCATGTTGCTGTTGGTCCACGAAACGGGCCAGGTATGTTATTTTTGAAGGCGAGTTGGGTATCCGCGGAACCCAAACGCTGATAACCGATAGCTTTGTAATGATGTTCTTGAAGAAGTCTGCAGTCACACGAGGGCTGACGTGCTCTGCCGAGTGGCTGCATTGACGACCTTGGATTTCATGTACAAAGCACCTGAACACCTGTCCTCTGCCAAACGGCACGGGTCTTTTTGTCCCTCGCTCTTGCCGCTTGAGGGCCGGACCTATGCCCAGTTGCTGCAAGGCTTCTGGGGAAACGCTTGTGTTCTAGACTGTCGGGTTGAGCTTCCGCACTGTTGAAGGCCCCCTCTCATCAAGGATCTCATGGCTCGGGGCAATCGTGCAGTAGTCGGTAAACAGAAGTTTCGGTATACTCTAGGTAAACAGAAAACAGAACTTTGGGCAGTTTAGATAGTTTGGGTGGTTCCAAGTGGTGCCCCACACTATTTAAACTATCTAGAATCTAAACTATCAAAACGGGGAGGGTGTAGATAGTTTAGATAATTTAGATAATTTGGGGGTTTTGCTGGGTTCGTTCAAGGAAACCAGGCTTGAAGGCCGGCATGCGGCTCTGTTGCTAAGCGGTTCTGTCCCGTCCACAACGCAGCCGTAAGGTTTTCAATGTCCGTGTCGCTTGTCCCTTGCTGTTCTGACTGTGGTGCCGATGTGCGGCCTCCGGCGGAAGAAGTTTGTGCACTCCCGCTTCAGCCGCTCTCGGACGACGAGGAGGGGTCACCAGCATCGCCAGTACTAACGTCAAAATCAAGGTTGGAGGCCCTGACGAACGTGTTCCCGGAAGAAAGCCTCGTCCGCTCTATAACGCTGCGCAAGTCCCTACAGCAGTTCGGGATACTCTGGCGCATGCCGATGGCACACACATCTCAAACGATGGCGAACTTCTACGATTGGTCCGAGCCGGCACAAGGCTACGACTATTTCCTGTCGCATGCATGGAGAACCTCAGGGTGGCTAAAATATTTTTCCCTGTTGTTTTATTCCAGCCATAATTTTCTTCTGATACTTATGCTTGTGGTGGCATTTATCATGTATGCCATATGCATGCTGGACCTCCTCCCCACCTTGGGCTATATCAGATTGGTGGCATCGGACTGGACATGTCCACAGAATGAGCCGCACCCGGGCTGTCCCTTGGGGCCTTGGGTTCTTGTGGGCGGCTTCCTCGCAGTCGTCGCAGGCCTCCTCATTGCTCCGTACCTGCCGAGCTTCTGCACGAGCTCTGACTTGTGCTTCGTGGACGCTGCATGCATCCACCAAGCTGACCCTGAGAAGAAGCAGGCCCGTGCAATGTAGCGGCAGCGGCTAGCGGCTAGCATGTGAGCTAGGGAATGCGGGGGAACGACCTGAATAGATATTGACATTGCGACATGACCCTGTATCCCACAACAAGAAACGGAATGCTTACCAATCCCTCCACGTTTCTGTAGCACGCTTGAACCTCAGGGCTAGTGAGGAGTTGACGACGGGACGGAGTCAATTTCAGTAGCAGTGCCCAAGACTTGAACGATGTGCGCAACCCAAATTTTGCAGCAGCATGCCGAGGGGGGCTCTCTGACAAACAGCTTTTTGACCAAGAAAGCAGCTGCACAACAGCCCTGAAGCAACACCTAACCGGTGCTGCAATATTGTTTGTCCTCGAACCCAAGAGCTCCGGCCGAGGGTTACGAACCCTGGTGCTGTTTGCACCTATTCATCCGGTCAACTACCAGTAAGGCTCTTGTTGTGGTTCTCGTCGCTACGTGGCAACTGCTGCTGCCGCTGCTTCTTCCTACTATCACTGCTGCAACTATCGCCGCTGCCAGTACTGACACTCTTGATAACTTTGAGGAAGCAAGAGGCCCGAAATACGCCCGGCGCCGTGACGGGAGCATGGTTTCGGGAGGTGGAAACGCAGGAGACTGCGGCGCGAAAACAGAGCACGCCCCAAAATCTGCACGGCTATGCGGGAGAACGGTTTGTAAATACGCCCCACAGGCCGGTGGGACTGCGGAAAGAGCGGGTTTACTCGACATCATGCACAACGCCGCGGCGGACCTACGGGGTGTTTCACGGAGCCTGTAGCCCACTCTTCCCATCCTAACACAAGAGCTACCATCTCGACAGGAAATTACTGTCTAGATTAAAGGTAGAGCCAGGAGGTATAATCCACGGCATACTGGTGCGACTGACAAGGATAGCAAAACAGCAGGAACGGCAATAGTAGACATAACGTCAGAAGTGCACAAATAACATATCAGTCATAGTAACGGTATACTGCGACTGGCACTGGCAATAATGGAGCAATGGCAGGGTTAGGAATACTAAGTAAGAAGGAATTTCCAATTCAACAATGTTAAGATCAATGCTAATCGTAGCGAAAGGAAAAACGACACCTCTGCTTCTCCTCCTTGTTCTCGTCCTTTTGCTTTGTCAAAGGCGGGTGTCGATGCGATAGCCGGCTTCCTCAGCAAGTCCCGGCAGCTGCGAATCCTTTGGTCGCCTCCCTACTTTTCAAGGCCTTGCGATCAAGAGTCAGGAGGGTTGGGCTTGGGTTCCGGAAGGGCAGTGCTAGTTTAGGGTCTTCGGTCTTTTGGTTTCGGGCTTGCCTGGTTTCGGATTTCTGGGTGCGCCGTTGTTCTTCGCGTTCACGATTGGAATCAGCTTGAATTTCGCTGTTACGTTCGCAGGCCAAGTTCACTATCCTCTGGTCGGGGTTCAGAAAGTAGTAGGGGACACCAATACAACCGACCGTGAAGTTATTAGAAACAAGGACGTCATTAAGCACCCCATGTGAATCCCAAGCATAAAGGCAGACGACACTTCAAACCTGTCATGACAACTCGAGACATCTTTAGAAGCCCCTCAAAAGGCTGTCGGCTTCCGCAGTGCCCCTCTGTGGAGCCGTCAGGAAGACCAGAGCTTGAGAACCGTTCCCGAGGGCATTGGCCAGTGCGCTGTGAACGCGCAACAGCTTACACTCAATCTGGGCATGTGTCTCTTTTGGTCGAGGGTTTGCGCGTGCCTGACAATCTACCTAGCAGGACGAAGCAAATCATATCTTAAGACACAGCAGCCGGACATGCCACTAGCAGCAAGGACATCTCTGAAATGGGAAGTTTGAAAATCCAAACAGCCTGTGTCAATTTGCTGCTATTCCTGATGTCTTTCCAGTTCCGTACGGGTTGACACCATGCAGAACGAATGAACGAACGGCTTGACCACAGGCTGTGGTGTGTCTTCGAGATTGCGGCCTATCGCAAGGTGCACCATCCCCGATCCCAATCCCTTGACCGTGAACTCATCCTCACCCTCATCCTCGTCCACATTCTCATCCTCCTCCTCATGATCATCATCATCATCCTCCTCCTCCTCCTCATCATCATCATCGTCATCCTCATCGTCATCCTCATCGTCATCCGCATCGTCATCATCAGTACCAGCGACATCACCATCATGGTCACCATCATCGTCAGCAGCACCAGCACCAGCAGCCCTTTCATCCTCACGATCATGATTATCATCAATACAATCATTATCATTGTCATCATCGCCATCGTCGTCATTGTCATCGGTGTCTTGCTCGGCATCGTTGTTGTTAGCACCTTGCACTGCTCATCATCCTGCGTTTTCGGCAGCTTCATCGTCATTGTCATGTTGACCGCGAGGCGCATGCCAGGCGCATTGTCATCTTCTTCTTGATCACACAGTTGTCATGGGCATCATTGTCACGTTCCCTGTCGTGACGATCATCCTCCACATCGCAATTGTCTTCCTCATCATCGTCATCGTCATCGTCACCCTTGTCATCATCAGCACCACCACCGCCAGCGTCACCACCTTATACTTTCGTTGTCATCTGCATGATTCTCACCGCCCCCACCCCTCGGTCATGAAGATCACAGTAGGCATCATGGTCGTTATCATCATCATCATCATCCTCGTCATCCTCATCGTCATCCTCATCGTCATCCTCATCGTCATCATCAGTACCAGCGACATCACCATCATGGTCACCATCATCGTCAGCAGCACCAGCACCAGCAGCCCTTTCATCCTCACGATCATGATTATCATCAATACAATCATTATCATTGTCATCATCGCCGTCGTCGTCATTGTCATCGGTGTCTTGCTCGGCATCGTTGTTGTTAGCACCTTGCCCTGCTCATCATCCTGCGTTTTCGGCAGCTTCATCGTCATTGTCATGTTGACCGCGAGGCGCATGCCAGGCGCATTGTCATCTTCTTCTTGATCGCACAGTTGTCATGGGCATCATTGTCACGTTCCCTGTCGTGACGATCATCCTCCACATCGCAATTGTCTTCCTCATCATCGTCATCGTCATCGTCACCCTTGTCATCATCAGCACCACCGCCGCCAGCGTCACCACCTTATACTTTCGTTGTCATCTGCATGATTCTCACCGCCCCCACCCCTCGGTCATGAAGATCACCGTAGGCATCATGGTCGTTATCATCATGATCATCATCATCATCATCATCGTCTTCGTCATCGTCACAGTCACAGTCACTGTCATCCTCGTCTCGCCTCTACCACAACAGCCACCACCGTCCCTGCCACCTCCTCCACCGCCACTGTTCCACTCTAGCCTTGATTACCCGACTTGCCGTGGCTGGCACACTCACATCTCATGTTCAATGCGAGTGAAGAATCATTCAATGATGGGATTCTCGTGCGCGAATTGCCGATGATGATGATGGTGATGGTGATGATGATGATGATCATCATCATGGTGATGCTGATTACGAGCGCCTTTCGACCATGGTGACGCACAAAAGAGCGGTAGTGAACATGATCATGATGATGGTGATGATGCTGCTGCTCCACTCGTGATGATACTGGCCGTGATGACTGCGGTCGCGAGGCAGTTCTTGTTGTTGGTGGTGGTGACAGCAACGATTATGATGATGGCGGCCACTGATTGCGGAAGTCTTTCTGCAGCTGCCCTCAACTGCTCAGCCTCTTTTTTCGCCAGGTGAATCCGAGGGGAGCGCTGGTACTCGCGCCCATGTTCGTCGAGCGCACCGCGGCTCTGAAAGGTCCTAGGAATGGCGTCCGTGTCGGGGATTGAAGGATAGCAACCCTGGGAATCAGAGCTTAGACTTCGAGAGGATTGAGTTGCTTGCTTGTGTGATGCAAAATCATCTATTGATTGACAATGACATCCAAAGAGATTCAGAGTTGGTGTTTCTGATGACGTAGACGGTACGACGATTGCGAGCAACACATGGCAATGGATGAGACAATCTGCAGAGCTGCATATTGCGTAGTGGTGTACGGTATGAGGCACTGGGAGCGAGTACGTAACAGCGCGATAAATTGCAAGGTAACACTGCTCCACGGTTTGTAGGGGTACGCAGTACGGTCACAGCTTGGAGGATTTTCAGCAGTACGGAAGACTGTGGAGGAGTCACACGGGTTAAACAGAGTCTCATGCTACGTCTGTATCTCTGCGCAAGGATGTAGTGTAGTGTGGAGCAATAAGCGGCCTTTTCTCGAAGCTCCGTTCTGTGACTGCCAAAAACACGTGTCTATACATCGTTGCTTCAGCGGTAATTCGTCGGCTGAATGCTCAGGATGTCATGCTTCCAGGGCTTGGGGGAGCCATAGATTAAACGGCGACAGTCCGTCGGCGGAAATATCTATGTATGTATTCACGAGTCGGTGTCGATTTGTATACTCTGTCTACATAATGTCCGTCTAGCAATCTACCCAATTATCTATTTGACTATCTAGCTACCATTCTATCTGTCCGTCCATCTGTCTGTACAACAATTTATCTACCTACCTATCTACCCATCTACCCATCCACCCATCCACCCATCTACCCATCTACCCATCTACCCATCTACCCATCTACCCATCTACCCATCTACCCATCTACCCATCTACCCATCTACCCATCTACCCATCTATCTATCTATCTATCTACCTATTTATCTATCTACTGCTCCATCGACCTATCTATCTACCTACCTATCCAACCTTCTATCTAATCCATCTCTCTTTCTCGATGTATCTGTCCATGTATCGATCTGTCTTTCTATTTATCTACCTATCTATCTAGCGATCTATCGATGTGTCGATCTATCTGTTTGTCTTTCCATGAGTCCATGTATGTATGCATTGATGAATGCATGTATGCATTTGTGTGTGTAAAAATGAGAGCACCATCGTCGCATGAGTTGTTCCACAAGAATAGAGTAGTAGTTCAAATAGGGAGCTAGGAACTGGTTCCTTTCTTGCACCTGAGCGTGCGGAAAGGCACGGTCCTTCTGGTCGTCTTCGGGGCCTTCACTATGGCAGGCCATTTGTTGGCCCCTGATAGAGACCTACCTTAAATAGTAGGATCTTTATCATAAGGTATCCCTTGTTTCAAGAAACGGAGTAAACCCAAACTGAGATCACGAGCCCATGTAGCCCATGTCCCAACTCCTACCCCACCTTTCACACCTGTTCACTGCCCGAGACCTCAAACATCAAGGTTTAGAAGTTTCTGGCTAGTTTGGGGATCAATGTCGCTTTGTAGCCACAATGAATGAATGCAAAGGCAGAGCCGTCGAGCAGTAGTTGCTGCGGTTCCCACTGTCGCGAGCATGATTGCTGTGGCTATCACATACATCGCCAGCGCGCGGGTACTGCTGCTATTCTTGCGGCTACTGCCGACATTTTTGCCACTGCTTCTGCAATTACCGTCACTAGTACCATTGACATTAGAACTGCGATAAGACGATTCATGAGACTCGTAATGACGTCGGGGAGTGCTGTTCGTGGGAATGAAAGCCGTGAACAAACGTAGCATCACCAGCAAGAGTAAGCGCCACAACTTGGTGTTCTCTGCGTTGAGATGAATGTGCAGCTCAGGGCGCTGTTCCCTGTCATTGTGACTGCCATTACAGGTCTGGCTGATGCTTTCATGAAGATGATTGTGACAGTTACGAGTATCGCTTGTCTTGCAAGTAGCAGGGACTGCAAGTAGCAGGGACTGCAAGTAGCAGGGACTGCAAGTAGCAGGGGCTGCTCGCGGCGCAACTGTGTTGTGCATCTCGGGTGGTCTCTGCATGTCGGCTCGCGTTTGTGCGTGTGGGCGTACCGCAGCCCAAGATGCAAAGCGTTTTAGCTTTTTGTACGGTAGGTGACGTCTGCTTGCTGAGGATCATTCGATACGATGCATCGGACACCGAACAAGCCCTGAAGCAGTCTTGTTTCGCCGCCAGTTCAAAGACAATTTCTGCTGCAAGAGGCATCTGTTCTCCCTGTCTCAGCGTGGGTGTGAGTGACAGCTTGCCCTGAAAGTTCGTTCGAGAAGTCCCCTGCAGCTTGCTGTGATGCTGTTGATGACGATGATGATCATAAGGTTGTGCTTGCTGGTGTTGGTGATGACGGTGCTGAAGGCAAGACAGGTCACATCACGAACCTAGCGCTGGAGCGGTATTGGCTTATTGTGCGGTCTTTGCAACAAAGCTGTTGCAGGGTCGGTTTCGCCTGTTCGTCCAGGCTTCTTCTGGATCATCGATGCCAACAACTATGATCCCAGAGTTAAAGCCATTTTTGTGGCCTTCAACCCACTGATACTGCGCCTCGACTGCTGTTTACTTGTCTCGGGATGATTGGCAGGATAAGAGTGACCTCTGAGCTTCTTGCCTTGGCCGTGCGCCGAGAGAATCGAGGCTGGTGCACTTTCTCCGGAGCAATGCCCGTGACAAGACCACCCTTCTTCAAGATTTGGAGACTCGGCTCTTCAGCCTTGGAACCTGCACGATGGTTCACCTTGAAGCCACGAGCTCTTATCTAGGGGATTATCTTTGGGAACCATGTTGATATTGGAGTCTCGTATGTTCAGGACTTTTTCAGAGCTGTTTCGAATCTTTGGTGGCTTCCCTGGGCTTTGCTCTGATGCCACATCGCAGGATTGAAAGTCTACTCATACATACCCCGAAATCCTGTTCGAAATTTCAAGGCTCCCTACATGACACGATTACACGACTGCAGCGAGGAGCGCTTCGACCTCGAGAACGTCCACTGCAGCCTGGATTCTGACCGGGAGCCACCTGACTGGTCCAAAAGGATCCTTTGTTTGTTGCGGTTTAGGGTTTAGGGTGTATGGGGTCAGATAATCCAGCTTAGTAGGAAGAGCAGCGGATCTGTAGCAGTACCAGCATCAACGATTTTGTACCGGTGACTAATTAGTGCAGCCGGCTTCGTTGTTTCAACCATTGCCAGCAGTGCCATTCGACAACCATTCCGACTGCTGTGGGTAGCTCTTCAACCTTAGCTTCTATGTTGTGGGCCTTCAGAGCTTAATTTCCTTGTGCTTTCTGTTGCAACAGTGCGGTCTCGAGGAGCCGCAGATTCGGATCGGTTTTCGGGTTCAGGGCTTCGACAGAATTCGGGCAGCGTCGGGCTTCAGCGCACGACTAGGTCAGGCATAGCCACGCCATAGCCTTCCTTACCAACAAGCTGGGAGCTGCCCGGGCCAGCAGGTTTGTTATGGCAGCCATCGATCGTTGGTACGGCAGCCGAAAGGCCCGGATGCTCAAAACGCCGTGCTTTGGGGCATGTCGGATCGGTTTTGCTACTATCCGGTCGTGAGTAGGTCTAAATGGCGGGGAGCTTCAGGTGGAGTCCAGGTCCGACCCTTGCTTCACGTTTCGAGAGCACCTGGTGCGAGAACGGGCATGATCTTGAAAATGATGGTGATGATGGTGATAACCATGATGGTGATGGTGGTGGTGATGATGATGTTTTTTTGATGATCATGCTTTTGATGATGATGGTGTTGACATTGATGATGTTGTTGATTATGTACCAGTCGTCGTCCTCGTAGTAGCAGGTCCCGGCAGTCGTCGTCGTAGTGCTAGTCGTCGTCGTCGTAGTAGTAGTAGTAGAAGAAGAAGAAGAAGTAGTAGTAGTAGTAGTAGCAGCAGCAGCAGCAGCAGGAGGAGGAGGAGGAGTAGTAGTAGTAGTAGTAACTTAGAAGTAGTAGTAGTGGCAGCAGCAGTAGTAGTAGC